GAGATAAAAAAAACTCACAAATGAAGGTATCATTGAAGGATGCAAAGATGTGGGCAACCCCAAAAACATGTTCTCCTTCTCTAATTGCTGGCCCAAGCGCCACGTTCTCCTCTTTAGGCTCTCTCGTCTTCCTCTTCGACTGTTAACCCCCAAAGATCCAAAATAAACAAAGATCGAGCTAATTGACGATAAAATGGTACATATAATTGACCGAGAAAGGATAAATTGATGAATTCAGACAAGGTTTTGGATTGCTTACCATGGTTCGAATTGAAACTATAACTATAGTCCTCAGAGTCAATAAAATATATAATATATAAAAATTTCTACCCTAAACATAAGCTTGAATAAAAAGATTGTGAAAATATATATTTCAATGTCAAAAGGTACATACCCGTTGAAAGAGATGAAATTGCTATAAAAATTATGTAATTTCTTAGTTTATATATAGGCATGAGCTATTATATGTGAGAGGATAGCATTTGCAAATAGAATTCTTTTTGGATAACAATTGTAAAGTTTAGTGTAGTTCATTAACTTATAAAAGAATTTCTTATGTATATTTATGAGTAGTTGGATAGATTCGGTTCATGAATCTTCTAGTCAACACTTGAATTCTCAATTAAGTTATATTCTATTAAATACAATCATCTCATGCCCACTTGGAAACAATATGCACGCAAATGTTAGTAACCCAAAGATAATTAGATATTGATACATTTTATTTGTGGTTTAATAAATAGATTTTGAATCCCTTGAAATTCCATCCGTCTAGTTAGTTAAACGGAAGCTAAGGGAATAATTTCTAGGGTTGGTTTTTTAGTTATTTTATAATACTCTATGTGTTATAGGATATAATTATGATTAGGATAGATTAAGATATAAATGAAATATTTAAAATAGTGAAGGGTAATATTGACCATAGAAAGATTTTTTCGAACTCGTGCTTTTAAAGGGAGTATGATATGATATGATTAGATATTAGATAGATCAAAATATTAGATTGGATTAGATAGATTGTTCACTGAATAGACCTGGTACAAATACAACTATGCACTCGTATCCATTAATCTTCATACAACTTATCATTTAATCCTCATTAAATTAACCACACACGAAATAGAAACATTAATACAAAACAATCGTAATAATTATTTGCTTAACACCTCTTAAGCAGAAGTATCTCTTATCACAACGTCAAACACATACTCAACCGTGAGCTCTTTCCCAAGCCTTGGACCGCCAAGCTTGTCAACCGCTCCAAACCCACCACGTACACCTCCGCAATCACTATCTAACCACCCCCTCCCGCTTCCGTCGAACCCATCACCTGCCCCACTGACATCTCACTGAGCCCGCCATTTCTAAATTCCAAACACACTTCCTCCACTTCCTCCCATCGATCGAGCTCACATCTGTTTAAGGGTGGAAATGAACCAAATATTTAATAAACAATGCAATTAATACTCGTCCATACATTCGGCCATATTCGATCCGACAGTTTATTTGATACTAAATAAATATTTTTTAGTGTTCGGCTTATAAACAAATAGAATTTAATTAAATGTATATTCGATTCAGCTGATTATTGACTATTCGATAACTTTTTATATGTTAATCTGATTAATTAAACTTGTTGCAAATGTTACCCATCAAAATTTTATTACAACTTCTATCCTATATATAAATAGACTTGTTAGAGGACCCAGATTTTCACCGTCGCTTCCACTTTCCGCCTCCAAGTTCAACCGAGTCCAAGTCCAACTGACGTCTCTCTCTTCCCTCTTCGAGGACCTGCGATCCTCTCTCTCCGACGCCCTCCTCCCGCGACGATGCCATCCGCCCTCCCCACGACGACGCCCACCGGTAAAAGTTCCAACCTTGATTTCCTTTTTTGTATTTAGAAACAATAATTGTTAATCGAATAGTTACCGAACAGATACCGAATAGTTGATGAATAACTTGATATCAAAACATGAAATATTGTTAATCGAATGTTCGCGAATAGTTACCGAACACGTACACAACTAAACAAAGCAAATTCGAATTTTGAATATCATTCGAGTCGAATTCGAGCACGAATTCGAATAAGGCACTATTCGTTCAAATTCGATTCGTTTCCACCCCTACCTCTGTCCCCAACGACAGACCCTGACCCTATCACCAACTCCACCACCGGCACCAACTTCAAGCTTACCACAACCACTTCCGCCAAATCCATTTTTGCCATCACTGCTAAGATTGTCTCCATCACGGGACCAGATTTTTTGCTCCTCGAACGCCTCGTTTCCATCCAATTTCCTTGGATTGGCAGCAAAGGGGGTGGCAAGGAGAAAGAGACATGACATTATGATGGCTAGTGAATCTTGTTACGTTGAAAGTAGAAGAGAGGAGAAGGGAGATTATATAAAGGAGTGGAATGAGTAAGGTGGAAGTTGGAGGGATCAATTATGTGCATTAATTATTTGGAGGTAGGGAATTCACTCTCATGGCTGTAACTCCTGCTCCTTTATTTACATTTGAATACATAGAGGAGAGAGGGGTTACCAACGATCGATGAGAAACTTAAGGATTGTAAGGTTTAATTCAGATCAATGTAAATATTAAGCTGATGATTGGTAATTACGGTGATTAAATGGATAACTGGTGGGTATTCAATAGGGACTTAGTGGTGATGGCCAGGTGTTTTAAGGAATGTATGTTTTTTAATGCATGTATTTGTTTTATCGTGAAGGTAACTAAACTTACATGGATATCCATAATATTACAAATGACACTTTACATTATATATCATATATGTATAATTGGAGGTCATTTTTGGGAAAAAAGTTTTAACATCTGTTATACCCTAAAAAATAACTAAGTGCTAATCTCCCTAGGGAAACTGACATGTGTCCCACCCCTCGCCTAATCAGACGAATTGAGGTCGAGACGACTCAAACTACTCCTACGGCCGACCCGATGGATCGACAACTTGCGTAGTCGAGTCAAAAGGCGGTACTTGTCGGCCACTTCACGCGATCGACCCTACGTGCAACCCACACTCGGCCTACTGTGTCAATTGACAACTTGCGAGTCTGACTAAAAGGACGGTGCTTCTTGGCCATTGACCAAACAAATAGAAAGACGACAGTTTCCTCGAACCCCTCGCCAGCCGACTGCTCTCGCATTAACTGCTTTGACAAAATCTTCATTACTTGAGCTCACATAGTCCTTATGACTCATCGGACCTAGTCAGCCCCAAGCACCTGCTGTCATTTCCTTATTAAATAACCAGATGACTCACCTTCTTCTGTGGCCGAGACCTGGAAGGTATCTGCCGACTTAGCAGCCTGACTGGACTCGGCTGAAGTTACATTCATACTCCTCTAGTCTACTATAAAAGGGAACTACGCTGCATGGGATAACATCTTCTACTTTTTGGCAATTTTGAATAACTACCTATACAATTTGCCTTTCATTTTCCCACTTAAGATAAAAATATCGACTTAATCGTCGGAGGAACAGCTGGAGAACCCAACTCCACCCTCTTACAAGTTTTTTATGCACAGGGAAGAACAACGGGCTCTGAACCAGTGATTGAAAGGAGTTTGAGGACTCTAAACACTCATAACTCTGATATAAACCCCTTGATTGATAATTGATATCAACGACATCCTTCACACTTGTAGAATAGAATAGTATTAGATTAGGTTAGATTAGATTAGATATGTAGCCGAACTTATTTATTATATCATTAGAGCTGAGATATAGCTATTTTTCAGGGTTATTTAGTTATTAGTTCCTCAAATCTTCAATAATCCCATGTTAGTCCATCAAATCTCAAGTAGTTGCTCATTAATTCCTCAAATTCTAAGGGGTTTTGTAATTTGGTCCCTCAATGATCAAAATATCCCTTAGCTATGATTTCTATCTTAAACTCCATATTGTTTAAACAAAGGATTATTTGCACTTTGATACTCTAAAAATTTACACCTTTTTAACTTTAATACCTAAGTTTTTTTGACACTTTGATACTCTAAAGTTTACACTTTTTTTAAACTTTGATCCTTCAAATTTTTTTTCCTGACACTTTTGTTATGAAAAAGTTTATACCTTTTTAACCTTGATATCTTAAAGTTTTATTTTTGACACTTTAAATACTAGGGTATGAATTTTGAACTATCAAAGTTCAAAAATATGGAGTCTTTTGGGCATGAACGTTAAAAACAAATGTAAATGTTAGGTATCAACTTTGGAAATAGTTTGGGTTATCAAAGGGTAAAAAAGGTGTACTGACCTTGGGGTATCGAAGTTTAAAAGATATAGACTTTAGAGTGCCAAATTGCGGACAACCCTTAAAAAAAATTAGTTAAGGGTATTTTTGTCATTGAGGGACCAAATTCCAATAACCATAAATTGAGGGACTAATGATCAATTTCATAGATATGAGAGGCTAAGAGAGTGTTTGGTTCAATTTCTATAAATTATAGGAAATGTTTTCCATTCAAAATATGATTTCCTTGTATTTCTTAAAAAAGTTATAGGAAAAGTTTTGAGAATTCAAAAGTACAAATTTTTTTATTTTTTGTTATTTGCTTGTTTGGTTCAGAACAAGAAAATAACCCATAACTTTATAGAAAATAGCAAGATTACCTATAATTTTTAGAAAATGAACCAAACACCCCCTAAATTTATAGAAAACTATCAACTTTATAAAAAAATGTCAACGCGGTGTCAGATTTCTGGGTGATTTTCGCCCATTTTGATAGAAAATTGATCTGTAAATTTTGGTATTGTACTTTACATACAACATTTCTGTAATTTTTTTTTGAATCAAACACAGTTTACGAAAATCTACAGGAAAATTTTAATTATAGAATTACCATTGTTAGACATTTTGAGAAAAAATTTCTATAAAAATGTGCAACCAAACACCCCCTAATATAGAATTATTGAATTGAGGGACTAATTGCTAAATTACCCCTCTTATAAACAACCACATTCGGATTGTATAGAAACGCGATTGGGGCTTTCAATTTGTGACCCATTCCGCTCATCTAGTTTAGGTCCGAACCCGATGTGAGGCTTAAAAGCCAACCTCTTCTCTAATTCGTCCCCTCCCATCTTTCTTCCCCCGCGAAAAACCCTAATTTAATCAGCCGATCAGTACGCCACCGTGGCCACCGCCGTTCGCGCCGTCGCCTCCGCCGCATAGCTCTCCCTCCGCCTCTCTCTCCAGTGCGAGATCCGATCGATTATACTTGGTAACCAATCCGTTTTCCTTCCTTTCCCCCCTGATATTGTAGAATTGATCCAAAACCAAACTGGGTCCAGCTGCGATGAGCTATTAATAAGGGGATATATTTACAAATGAGATAGTGTGAGTTCCACGATACTTTCTGCTAGAGGGTTGATGAGAAATATGACTGTAAACTGATACTTTTTATGAAATTAGTTTTGAGCCTATTGAATAGAATTGGCTAGGAGACCCTTAAATTTTTTAGAAATATGTGCTAAAGTTTCATTGAAATTTAACTTTAATATCATGATAGAAAATGTCTCTTAAAGGCATAATAAATTTGTTAGTTTCTGACTAGAAGGAGAATGTGCAATATAGATTTATAACATGCATGTGTCAAAAAGAGATTCGGGTATACAGAAAGATGCAAGGTTCCACATTTTATTTGAAAAATTGCCAAACTTCCAATTTTTCTATGAAAACCTACATCTAGAGGTTTGTTTTTTGGGCCATTTATCCATGTAGGAGGCTGTTTCTTAGATATGGAATAGTTACCGAGTGTTTGATGTTGTATCTTAGAATTGTGTACACATCAGCTCATACAATTATGAGTTACCCGCAAATAAAAGTTGAATAGAGTGCCAACTAGGAAAAGAAAAATTGAGGGTAAAGTGTATAAGAGTTTAAAATCTTATTGACAATATACTCTTAACAGTCTTATTCCTTTTCTCTTGCTAAATTATTTCTTTGAGTTTTTCTTATTACAGGCCTAACAATTTTCTTGTATTTATTGATTGTGCAATTCAGAAGCATATTCTTTTAGTATATGTAATGGACATCATCTCTCAGCTGCAAGAGCAAGTTAACACAATTGCCTTTATCACATTGAACACGTTTGGGACATTGCAAAGAGATGCACCGCCAGTCCGGCTCTCTCCCAATTATCCTGAACCACCTACTAATCCGTCTGCTAATCCATCAGAGGAGACGGTAAACACTGCAGAACAAGCAAAGTTAATGAGTGCCACATTGGTTCAAGCTGCAAAAAAGGTTTGTATTGTACAATTGCTTGCTTTCTTTTTGGTCGAGGTCGAGGGTTTATATTTGGGAAAGAAGTCCTATAGAGGATCCTCAAAAAAATCATGCAGGGAGAAAAGAGTATGTGGTATGTCTCTTCACCAAATTTAAATCAAAGCATTCACTGCACAATATCAGTGCAAAAAATAAATATCAAATGTTGGTACTAGAAGATTATTGTATTGGTGCAAAAAATACATTAATCTGTGTAATCACGAAATTTAGAATTAGTTCTAAGAGACGTGTAAGTTTCTTCTTCCTCCTTGTATGATTTGTATAAAGAGCCATCTATGTTATTTTTCCCTTTATATTTCCTGGATTCTGTGTTCTCCACATGTGAGCAATCCGTTTTTGGTTTCTTTTCAGTTTGATGCACTTGTTGCTGCATTGCCATTGTCAGGAGGGGAAGAAGCACAATTAAACAGGATACAAGAACTCCAGGTGAATTGGCTGATTTTACCTTAATGTTGAAAATTTCCATTAGCATTAGAACAAGTTGTTGAGCATGGTGGCTCAACCTAATTCAGAAATCTTTAGCTGAATTATCTGTCAAGGTTTTGTATGTTACTTTTCCTTTTTCTGTGAGGGGTGGTCTCGACAGAGGGAGTTGAAAAGAGTTTTATACATGTAGGAAGCTTCTGGCAGATTTGTGCAGTTTGAATCATATATCTCACTTGACCACTTATATCTTATAAAAAATTGCTTTTTTAAATCTAGATGAATATTGAAGGAGAATCTGTTTGGTTTTCCTTCTATACAGTAATGCTATACTTGACCAGGAGAAAATTGAGGCAACATGAATGGAACTTTTAACATGTCGGATCCTTCTAATTTGCAAACCATGTTTGCAATCCGCAATTGAGATTGCTTTTAATATGTAGCTCGGATTTTAAGTTGTAAAGGAATATGAATTAAGCTGAAACTTTTTCCAAATGCTTTCTTTCAATATAGTGTGTTTGGCCTGTGGAAAGTAGTGAAGAACAAGAAAATCAAAACTCCAAGTTCCTAAGAAGCTTGAAAAACTGAGTTTCCTTCTTTACTATAAGGCTATTAGCTATACTTGGCTAGGAGATCAAGGCAACATGTTGGGTACTTCTAGTGTTGCAAACCATGTTTGCAATCAACCACTGGGATTGCTTTTAATATGTACCTTAGACTTTAAGTTGCAATGAATATGAATGAAGCTGAAAATTTTAAATGATTTTTTAAATAAAAGGTGACGATTATTTGTTGCAGCAAGATGTATTTTAACTTCATTCCTTTAAAGCTCTGATTCTTTTTCTCTAAGTAGCATGTTGGAGGTCACTGTTTGGAGCTAGGAAAAACATGGTATTTTTAATTTTCTGCTTGCCAAATCTAGAAACACAGATATTTCCACTATTTCTCCTGTTTCTACCTTGATTTGCACAGGTGTAACACTGACCCGTTTATTTATACACTGTTAATTTTTTTTTCTTTTCTTCGTTTTCGTTTTCGTTTTCCTTCTTTGTTGTGCATTGTTTAAAAGGCGGCCTACAGGAGTGGTGCTCTGAAGTAGCGCCTAGTGGGATGCATTGGTAGATTGAAACACTGACACGAATATTAATCAGTGACTGAGGCTATGTTGTTTTTGTTAATCTGTTGCTGTTAAGGATTATTGTTAATAATATTTTTGTTTAGCTGAATAAATTATGAGTACTGTCTGTTTTGGTTCTCTTACATGCAAATTTTGATCCAAAACCCAGGCAGAGAATGAAGCTGTGGGACAGGAGCTTCATAAGCAATTGGAAGCCGCAGGTATTTATACTTAATAACATTTCTTAGAAGATAAAAACTGCATACTTCGGCCATTATCTTAAAACATTGTCATTCAATCTGTTCATTGGGCGTCTTTTATCATAACTGCTTACTAAAATTTTAACCGGCAAAGATATCTCACATATACTTTCACTGTAGTACTTGAATAATTTGTCACATGATTTCATCCTTATTTCAAATTAAGGTCCATTTCTTTTCCATATTCTGCACTTGATTGTATTCTTCATCGTGTGCCTGAACCATATCTTGTTGCCTGTTGTTTCCAGAGCAAGAGCTGAAGCAGGTCCAAGAGTTGTTCAACCAAGCAGCAGACAACTGCTTGAATTTGAAGAAGCCAGAATGATGGATTTTGACATTATATACCAATGATTTTTTTTTCTTTTTTTTTTGTTCCTTATGAATCTGTATTAACCATTATTACCTAATGTATACTTTGAGAGCAAGAATCAGATTGTCACCTTGGTCTGTCTTTTGCATAATTGCTGCATTTGGGGCAATATATGAGCTTTTAAATGTAGTTTGCTTTGTTAAATGAAAGGGTGCCAAGTGTCTCACCAGTTTTTCATATTTGTTTATTTTCATTTTTTATTTTTTCAAATGAGAACGAGCATTAATATTTGGTTGAACTTTGCGTGAGGTTATTGGTAACTCTTTCACTCAGAGAAATGTCTTAGAAAATCCCACTCAAATCATTTTAATTTTTGTAAACTCTCCCAACTTTCGAGATGTCGTACTTGTAGATTGCTTTCCTCAGCTTTGCAATTTTGATTCAATCCCTCTAAGCTTTTCTCTCTAAACCCATAACACTATTAAGGGTGTGTTTGACAATCTCTCAAAACTGGACCAGGTTCGAACTTGACACAATTTTAAAAGATTTTTGTTTGGCAAACAATAGGGCCAGATCTAGTCCTGTTTTCCAAATAGTGGTCTTAAACTAGTTTTCATTTGGACTAGGGGGGGTGTTGGTCCAAATGAAAATCAGTTTAGCACAAAACTAGTCCTGTTTTCATACGCCAAATAGTGGCCTTAAACTAGTTTACATTTGGACTAAGGGGGGTGTTGGTCCAAATGAAAATCAGTTTAGCAAAAAACTGGGCTAGGTGCTAAATGGGCTAGGACTGGTCATGGTCGAGTTTTGTATAGTTTGTCAAACTGACCCTAAGTCTGACATGTTATGTGACAAGACCTGAGTTGAAAAGATTAAAAGATTCCTCATCCACAAAAAGATTATCTCAAAATTTTTGAGGATGAAATAAAAAAAGATAAAAAGGGTCGAGCTAAGTTGAGAAGAGGCATGAAGAAAGCAATGACGGGTTTTTGGCTCACCCTAGTTAAATGAAATAATAGTTTTTTCAAATTATTAATTATTATGTAACAAAAGTTAAAAAATAATTTAATAACTATTATCAATTTAAATATAAGATAAAAAATATTTCAATTTTTGTAACAAGTGGAGATCAAATCTAGGGTGGGCTATAATTTGAAGGAGATTTTTTTTTAAAAAAAGCCATTTTTTAGAAAATTATTAGCAAAAACAAACTTTATAATAAATAATTAGCAAAATCGATTATTTTTGGTAGGATGACCAAAAAAAAGTCTATCTTACAAAATTTGATAGGCTACTAGTTCCGTGTGTTTAGGATTCGCTAATCATCTTCTTCTAAGCATAATTCAGAAAACACTCCGTACTAATAGTCTCGCGAGTTTTCTACAGTATCACATAACGAATAAAATCACATTTACTTTCTCTTTCCTAACACTCATTGGCTAAAATCTCCTTCCTTTCGATCCTCCTTTGTCTTCGTAGCTTTCTTGATCTCATTTGGGCGCCTGAGGATCAATCGGGTCCGGAACGGACAGAGCTCGCTCACACTTCTACTTCTGCACCACCTCCTTGCACCCTCGGCCATTGCGGTCAGCAGCCGTAGCCTCATGCGTTAAATTAGCATATAAAAATGTGCAAACTGGACCGAATAGGGGAAGGCGACACCGCTCGCCTCGCAGGCTCAATTGCAGACCGCAAGTGCCAAAGCTTAGCATTAGGGTCATCAAGCAACGACGTGATCTTCACCGAAATCTTTCCGTGAACCCGATGAACTAGCGGCGACGAATCCTGATACCAAGCTCAGGCCCCCTTCGTCAATCTAAGGGCTTTGGTGTGGTTCCCGCGTCGGAGGGCAGTTAGGGCTTTGGGGGTTGGATTCCGCTTCTGCTCCAATCTGAGCCAACCAGTTTTAGGAAAGTAAATGTGTTTTCGATTTGGGTTGTGTTTAGGGGAGATTAGCAAATGCTAAACACACTAGTTGTATGATTTCAATACCAAATTTTGTAAATTCGAACCTCTTTTTGACCGGTTCTGAGTGAGCCTGCTAAAAAGAAGTATATTTTACTAATTATTCAGCAAAAAGATTATTTTTATTAATTATTTTTAAAAAATGGTCTTTTTTTTTTAAAAAGTTTCCTTAATTTGAACGGTAAAACGGTGACCATGCCGATCTGGGACAACTTCTGAAAACAAATATGACCCGGGGGCATATAGAGAAAAATCCCAGCACATAAATACCCAGTTTGCGGCATTCGGCAATAGCCAAAACCCAAAACCCTAGCCATCTCTAAAACCCTCGACTTTCCATTCTCTCTCCCACAAATCCAGACCTTTAACCCGAATTCAAAGACGATGCGAGGCCCTAATCAAAGGAAGAAAACTCGAAAGCAAACCCTAGTCTCAGATACCCACGAAATCGAGCTCCTCAACTCGTGGATCGAGTCCCAAAAGCCAAGCTCCGGTTCAAACCCGCTGTCGATCCCTCCGCCGCCCGATAGGTCCCCAGTTGGCCGTATCTCCGACGGGAATTACTCGGCCTATGCGGGATGCAGGCTTTTCTCGCAGCTGCCGATCTCGAAGAAGACGAAAGATGGATTGGGGAAGAAGTATAAGGTGATGAGCGAGATACAGCGAGCTTCGCTGCCTCATTCGCTCTGTGGACGAGATGTGCTCGGCGCAGCGAAGACTGGATCAGGAAAAACCCTTGCTTTCGTGATCCCGGTACGATCATCCCTAGTTTCGTATTTCATAACTCTGTACGTGTTGTATTTTCACTTCAGTACCCCCAAAGTTTCACCCTTTTTTCTTAATTATTTTGATACCCTGAATTCTAGTTTGACAACTTCTATAGCCCGAAGTCCAAAAAAGTTGAGGTTGATCTTGTTCAAGATTATCAATATAGAAAAGTGAACACAGAACAAATTTTAGTTTTTTGAGTTTGGGTAAGGTGAGAAACAAAGATAGGGCTTTGGGGTATCAAATCGTTAAAAATTAAGTCGGGCACTGTGAAAAGTTTGGGATATAAAATTGTCGAAATAGAACTTCAGGGTCTCGAAGTTGGAAAGGGGTGAACCGTTGGAGTATTGCAGCGTCTATTAAATAAAAAAATAAATGATATGTGGAATTTAATTTGAATCCCCTGACATGCATTAGAAGTTCCCTAAAGCTGTTTAAAAACTAATTAGTAACTGATATAGTTCAAGGGTTTTCTTTTTTTTTTACTTAAATAGTTGAATGTTTTTCTTGAGAACTGGGTATCATAATTTCTTTGATATCTCCTTGGTTGATTTATTTAAAGTTCGGGAGAACATATCCATAGAATCATGTGAGTGTTTCTATAGTGTAAAATGTTGTGATTGTTGGTGGATTCTATTATAGGGATCCTTATTACTAGAAACAATAATGAAAAAGGCTTCTCCTTTTGAGAGGAACTGTCATGGATATGTAGTAGATGTTACACTTTAAAGAACCTAAGAAACCTGCGTCCTGCATAGTAGCATTCTGTTGTAATTGAATTATGATAATTATGTATTATGCTTGTGAATTTGCTTTTGGACATGACGACGCAAAGAGTAAATGTCCCACATAACTTGTTCTGGTTATTGTTGAATTCTATTACAGAGACCAGTATTAGTAGACGTAAGAACATAAAGACACCTTCTGTCAAGAGGAGCGGTCTTGGAGCCTTAATTTGATATGGTGTATCCCAGTAGGAGTGTTACATTGAAGAATCCAAGAAAACTGATGCTGCATAATAGCGTTCTCTCATGGTCATATTTTGATAGTTAAGTCTGATGCATCAATTCCAATGCAATTAGTGAACCACTCATTTGAGTTGTGGAAGTTTGGAACAGCATAGAAGGCCCAAAAAAATTGATACCCAGTAAATAATTTTCTTATTCTATTACACCATAGGAAATCAACGTCTGTGGATGGTCAAGATCATTTAAAAATATACTGGGAGCCCCAAAGAGGTTTGTTCACGTTGACATAGATAATAGTTGACTCAAAGACCACAAGATTATCTGTTTGATAAATGCTTATGCCACCCAGAGGTTTAGGTCCAAATTTAAGTGTATTATTGGTCATGTTATTTTCATTCTCCAAATTTGTGGCTTATTTATGTATTATTGACATGTAGTCTATTTTATTAAATATATCAGGTTTACATTATGTTGAAGGATATAGTTGGAATAATTGCTTGTCCAGGTTATAGAGAAGTTATATAGAGAAAGATGGGGTCCAGAAGATGGGGTTGGGAGCGTTATTATATCCCCGACAAAGGAATTAGCAGGACAGATTTTTGAGGAGGTGAATATTGTAGGAAAATACCATAGTTTGAGTGCAGGCCTTTTAATTGGTGGGCGTAAAGATGTGGACGCAGAGAAGGAATGTGTCAATAGTCTAAACATCTTGGTTTGTACTCCTGGTAGACTCCTGCAACACATGGATGAAACGCTTAATTTCGACTGCTCACAGCTCCAGGTCAATATATAAGCCTTTTTTTTGGCAAGCTTAACAAATGAATATAAAACACTGTATATAACACCGTTGTTCTGGTTAGGAGACAGGTTTTGGTTCTGGATGAGGCAGATAGAATTCTTGATCAAGGTTTCCGAGTGGCTCTGGATGCAATTATCTCTCAGCTCCCGAAGCGGAGACAAACCTTGCTCTTCTCTGCTACCCAGTCAAAGTCAGTGAAGGATCTAGCAAGGCTCAGTCTGAAGGACCCGGAATACATCAACGTGCATGCTGAGTCTACAACCGCCACACCTGAACGTTTGAGACAAATAGCCATGGAAGTTCCACTTGATCAGAAACTTAGTATGCTCTGGAGTTTCATCAGAACGCATCTCCATTCAAAGATCATTGTTTTCCTTTCAACCTGCAAGCAGGTATTCTTTTGTTTATACCTCTTCCTGATATCTTGTTGCCAGCATATAGACACTGTCACTGATATTTAAGTGCAAATGACCAAGCGTCACAGGCTTAATATGCAATGCATTTCTCTTTTTTTCTCTCTGCTGCTTAAACCAATTTACCTTCCCTTTATTTACTGTAGAGGAGTATGGCGTCTAACCAGTTAGAGTCAAATCGTTATTTGACCTAAGTCTCATGTAGATCGAGATTAAGATGATGAAAGCTCTGGCATTTTGCATTGTCTTCCTCTCTAGGTTGCATAGGTATGGGTTCGGGTGTGATAATGGGTGCGGAACACGACAAATTTGTGAAAGATAGGATACGGGGACACGGAATATAGATACACTACTATCATAATAATATATAAACTACACCTACTATATAACTAGTACCCGTAATAAGTAATACATATAGTACTACTACATTTAAATTAGTATATAAATATCTGAGAAAAATTGGTATGCTGGACCAATCACAAAAAGCTATGCTGGGTATGGGTGACCATAATCCCCTCCACTTATTCAAATAGTCTGCATAATCCTCATGTACTCCTCAACCCAAAATGAATGGTCTCTCTCATCTTGAATGAGTGGAGGGATAAAATCCACCTGACCAATGCAACAAATGTCGCTTGTACAGAAAAACCTATTTTCAAACAAGTCGTGATATACTATCTAATGGTAGTGTTTAGTGAGTTCTGGGTTGTTTGGTCGTTGTGATTAGGGTTATTTTCTGTTGTGTATGTTGGTTTTGTAAGTGCTTTCTGATGTGGTGGTTTTTATTTTGTCGGTTTTGTAGTTTTGTCCATTCTCAAATGAAACAAAACCCTTCGAAACATTTCTTTTGTATTATCAAAAAGACAAAAAACTCAAAACTCCAACTTCAAAGCTACCATATGCTATCCATGTGTTATCCAGAAAAGGCAAAAGCCAATGAAGACAAACCTAGTCACATGGTCAAACATCCCTCACATTACCGCCATGTGTTAGTTATGTCACGTTCCATGAACACAATAAAAAAAGAAAATGAATAAGAGAGAGAGAGAGAGAGAGAGAGAGAGAGAGAGAGAGAGAGAGAGAGAGAGAGAGAGAGCAGAGAAGAGATTCTTTAACCTGCTATCCTCAAAGCCATTAACGGGTCTGCTTGTTGTGGTGTTTGGGTGTGCGTAATACTAGCTGAGGCTACTATAGTATTACGTCAACTACTTTGTTCGGTAGTGCAAGGAGTTGGGTGATGTGGCCACCCAAAAACCCAGCTGGCAGACCTATTGCAATTCCCTCCATCCCAAGCCGTTTTAGCTGTGTTCCTGTAGCTGTCAGATACAGGTAGGGTACCTGTTTTTTGAATCACTGTAGCAAACATGCGGTTTACAATAAAGTATCCAAACAGACCCTAAAGCCAGTTATGGGTTATGAGGTATCAAAATCAGACCGATCACCAAATAGATCACTTTTTCCAATCTTAGACCTCTTCTCACTTGCGGAAAACTTTCAGCTCCGTGTCCCTGACATTTAGGTGCAGAACCGCACCCAAAACGTACCCGACACGGGTACGACAGCAAGTTTGGCTTGTCCAAGTGCCATAGCTTCCTCTTATACTTTTAACACTGTTATGTTCATCACAATATTCAAAAGAGAGTTCCTTTAGTTTCTTCTCACAGCTTTCTGAGCGGTGTATTAGTATAATAAACTTCAATTAGAGTTTGTTAAATTTCATTATGAGAACAAGCAGCATGAAGTTCCCATCAGAGTGGGGTTTCAATGGACCATGATTCACTATCTGGAAATATCCACAGAAGGACGAACCAACTTTTGCTAAAGGCTGCCAAGAAGAGGCAAGCTAAATTCTGTTCTGCATATTTCACTAACATGGGAACTATCAACAATTGATGCTCCTTGATGGAAAACCTACCATGCTTATAATGAGTTCAGATGTATGCAACTAGGGACTGAGGAGCAACCTCTCAAATGCCCGTTGAGTGGAGTACTCTGGCAGCTTGCTGGTTGTATCGCATTCACCTCAGGCCAAACAAGCCCACGAGCCAAATGGAATCACATCCCAATTATCTCAGATATGCTATTCTTCTTCTATTTCTTAAGTGCATAAGTTGGAATTTTGTGCATTTCATCTCTTTTGCTTGTTATAACTCGAGATGAATGCAATCCGGTGAATGAAGCCGGTTAGTTTCTATATCAAGTTGCTTCTTAGTGTGAGGATCTTTTGTTTGGTTGCATTTTCTTTAGTGTGTGAACTTGGACGTCATTACTAATGGATCTTTATGCATATAAATTACATCATTTTACGATTCTTGAATATAGATTGTATAGCTTGCCCATATTTAGGGAATTAGGGGAATAGGACAATGATAAATAGTAGTGACCGATACCATTCATCCTGTTCTGCGGAATTTTGTTTGTGTTAAATTGCTGATTATATAGTTTATTTTAGTGCATGTAGTTATTATTCTTAATCCATCTAGATTTCGCATCCTCTGATCATCATAAACCATCTGGATTGCCATTCTTTGATATGTGTGTATACATGTTTACGAATGTCAGTCTATTTTAACCTCTTTCAAACTCTTAGAAGCAACTCTTTTGAATTTAATTATTGTGAAATGGTCATTATTTTTTACTATAGAAAGTTTATTTTTATTCTTGATGTTCCATACTATTTTTAAGCATTAAGAAGTATTAAATAGGATCTGTGACAGGTACATTTTCAGATCTACATGGATTTTGCTTTTTTTTTATTTCTTATTTTGCGTTAATGTGTTTATTCCCACTTTTCGTTGATGTGTCTTGCATTGTGCCTATTCTATTCCCATAGGTTAAATTTGTCTATGAGGCTTTCAAGAAATTGCGTCCTGGAATTCCTTTGATGTGCCTGCATGGTAAGATGAAGCAAGAAGTAAGGATGGCAGTATACATGCAATTCTGTGAAAAAACCTCAGTTCTTTTTTCAACTGATGTGGCTTCTCGTGGACTTGATTTTCCAGCAGTTGATTGGGTGGTACAGGTAAGTGGTGACACTATAAAACGTATTGCATTAAAATTGTTTATTTACTTTGTGTGTACTATATAGGTGGACTGCCCAGATGATATTGCGGCTTACATTCATCGAGTTGGTCGTACTGCACGTTTTTCTTCTGAAGGAAAATCGGTGTTATTTCTCGAGCCCTCAGAGATAAAAATGCTCACGAAATTGCAAGGCGCTGAGCCTAAGATACCTATACATCTAAGAAAGGTATATTCTGTCTTTACCTTTTCAGTTTGATAACAAGTATGCATTGAACTTATGGAGAATTTTGTTGGTTAAGAGGATTTATTCATAAACCCTATTGAAAATACCAAATAATAAAGTGTATGCAGTTACTTGATTCTCTAGGATTTTGAGATCTGCTATGGAGATAACAGTAGAAATATTGCAAAACCAAGTCCTCTTGTTCAAATATTCAGGTCCACGTGTACTTGTGCGTGAATGCTCTTGTTAAGGGAATGGTTTTTTTCAATAATTTTTTATTTCAAAAATTGGAACTTGCGATACGGAGCCTCCAGTTAGCAGCACTGCATGGTATGCTCATTTGGACTTAAGAGGATTTTGTATAATGTTCATATTTGATGGATAATTCGACTTTTTGTTCGTGTGGAGAGCACTGCAATCCTCTTGCTACTCTTATGTCACTTTACTAAATAGAAGTTTTCTCACAGAAAGATTATGAGATCCCACGGATTTCTTACATACCATATGCTGACTGTTATTTTGCAGGCAGATGCCAAAAAGACAGAAAAAATTTCAGGATTACTGTCATCATTGTTGGTCAAGTACCCTAATTTGCAGCAGCTAGCTAAAAGAGCATTCATCACATATCTCAAGTCTTTGCATAAAAAAAGTGACAAGGAGGTCTTTGATTTACCGAAACTTCCTATTGAAGAGTATGGTGCATCATTGGGCCTACCAATGACTCCGAGAATCCGCTTCATAAGCAAGAAAAAGGGCAAGGAAGAAGAACCTATGGAAACCACAATGCATATTGAAAATGGCCTTGATGACAGTTCAGAAATCTTGCAAAGAACAAAACAGAAAAAAGATAAACCTAAGCAAGAGGCCGAAGAAGACGTTTTTGTGCCAAAAGAGACCTCTCTAGAGGTGGAAGGAAATGGAGCTTCTGTGTATGTTAATAGCCTTTTTTAAAAAAATTAACTATTGGGTTGAGTTGGACTATCTTTTTGCGCTTTTTTTTTATTTATTGCTAGAAGTTTTTGCAGTTTGGGAACAAGGATTTTGAAAAAGAAGAAACTGAAGATCAATGTTCACAGGCCAGTTGGCTCAAGGGTGAAGTATGATGATGAGGGAAATGTTATCCCTCCTCTGGCTGCATTGGGTGATACTGAAAGCAGGGATGATGTGCTTCAACCTGAAAAAGGTTATTGGGGAGTTATTTCCTCTTCCTCACTTTTTTATATATTTTGCCTAATTTTAGTAGAACTTAGTAAATTGCCGATAGCCTGCTGCATACTTTAAAATGCCTGGAAGTTGAAAGTTCCCACCTGACTTGATGAATGTACAGGAATGGGCATTAGTTAGGACTGAATATTGGAATTACAAGGTTAACACAAAGGATAACCTAATGAAAAAACTATCTAAATAAATAGATTGGGGCATGCACAGCAGAGAGAAGGGTTAAAAACCGAAACTGAGGAAACCATCATATGCGAGTATCATAAGGTTTATGTAGTTTGTACCGCAAGTACTAGCTTCATTTGGCTTTACGTTCATTCTTATCTTGCATGCTATAATCTTGATTCCATTGTCATTGAAAACGTTCAGTATATGTTCAGTATCATCTTTTGAGTTAATAAATTGCTTTGGTTTACACTTCACTTCGAACCTCTCTTAAATGTATGTTTTTATTACAGTGAAAGAAAGGTATAAAAAACTGCGACAGGAGATGGACCTGCGAGATAAGGAGGACAAGGTTTTGCTTAGGCAGCGCCTACGTGAAAAAAGAACCAAGGAGAAGATGAAGTTGAAGAGATGGAGGGAAGAAGAACAAGATGAGGAGGATGCTTCAGACCAGGATGAAGAGGCTAAAAGTAATGTTACCAAGAGATCGAAGATATATTTCAACAATGATAGTGATGATGACAAGCAAGATCAGGAGGCAAAGGACATGGGTCCCATTCCGGATTCTGTATCTGTTACAGAGCAGGAAGCGCTCGCTCTCAAATTGTTGAGTTCCATGCACTCATGAACTTAAAGGATAATTTCATATATTTTGATTGTTCTGAGAGCAGAAGAAAATTTTGTAATTGTAGGAATTATCGTGAAATGTATTTTATTGTGTCCTGATACTTTATGAAATGGAATTCAGAAGATTATAGATGGTACAGTAGGTTGAGGCTTAATGATACCTACCTGCACGCTTGTTCTGGTCTTCAATGGGTAATAATTTCAATCCCTTCCCTGATTGAAGTTGCGTGTTAAATATAGTTCTCTTTGATGTCTGTCAACTAAAAAGACAATGAAAACTACCTTTATTATCTGAGCCCTTAAGGGATGGTCGGAGTATTAACAATGTTTGTGGTATCGGTGATGATGGCAATCAATGGAGACGTTGCATTATACCCTAGGTGTTTCTTGACCTTAATCAAACATTGGATTCTCCTGCTTTGAATCCAACTATATAAAACCCAACACCACCAAACTTCAAAAGACTATATATAACCTACACCGCTCCTCAGCAACCTGAAAATGGATGCAAAACTTGAATCCAACTATATATAACCCAACACCACCAAACTTCAAAAGACTATATATAACCTACACCGCTCCTCAGCATCCTGAAAATGGATGCAAAACTTGGACATCAGTATTAGTCCTGGATGACTTCCTCTTTCTGGAATATAAGCGTTTTAGAAGAACAACGTAAAATAGCTAACCACAGTATTTGGAAAGCAAATTTTAACAAAATTACAAGAAACATCCAAGAAATAAAACTGTTACTCAGCATAGCAAACTCTACTGGATGGGTCACTACAAGCACAATAATCATAGATAAAATAGATTCCCTCAAGTGAAGTTCAAGCAGTCTCAAACAAGAAGAAAACAAAGACTTCATCAACCCTTTGAATTGTGATTCGGGATGAAATGCCACCCAAATCCAGAGAGCTGGTTCTCTCAGAAACTTGTTGAGTCTCAGCAGTTGACCGGACAAAAAGTCACAACCGCTAAGTTACAAGAAATTCCTTTCTCAAGGTTCACCACCCAACGAGCCAATGGTGATGCCTTTCAAGTGAGGAGCCAGTCTTTCTAGAGAGCCAACAGAACAATCACTGCAGAGATGTAGAAATTAGTTGCATAATAAGGATACGAGTAATCCAGAAAAAAGAATATTATGAAAAACAAAAATACAAGATTAAGCAACAAATCATATCATATCATATCATATCATATCATACTACTTATAAAAGAACGAGTTTAAGAAAAACTTTTCATGGTCAATTTTACCCTTAACCTTTTTGGATATTACATTCTAATATTATCCTAATATATTCAAATAATTTAAACATAAATGTTTGCGGAGAAAGTTGCTATTTCCATTGTTATCGAATCTATTACAACTTTAGTCGTTACAATAAACTGGTCAATTTTACCCTTAACCTTTTTGGATATTACATTCTAATATTATCCTAATATATTCAAATAATTTAAGGGGCTGTTTGGTTGCACATTTTTTGAGAAAAATTTTCTCAAAACATCTGACAATGGCAAATTTGTAATTAAAAATTTTCCAGAGATTTCAGTAAATTGTGTTTGGTTCAACAAAAAATTTACAGAAATATTTTCTATAAAATATCAAAACCTACTAAATAAAAAATTTACAGAAATATTTTCTATAAAATATCAAAACCTACTAAATTTTACAAAAAGCAATTTCCTCTCAAAATGAGAGGAAATCACCAGAAATCTAACACATACCATATTTAATTAAAAACCTACCAAATCTTATTATTTTCTATAAAGTTATGAGCTATTTTCTTGTTTTGAACCAAACAATCAAAGTACAAAAAACAAGAAAATTGGTACTTTTTGATTTCTCAAAACTTTTCCTATAATTTTTTTAAGAAATACAAGGAAATCATATTTTAGGTGGAAAACATTTCCTATAATTTCTAGAAATTGAACCAAACACCCCCTAAACGTAAAATCTTTAACTAAAATTTAATATTAAAAGAGATAAAATAGTGGAACTAATTTTCTATCCTATTAAAAGACGATATGTATCCAATTAATTCTATCTTCCTAAGAATTCTCATTAAATTAAAACTATTCATATCCATTACTAAAAAATTCTTATTCATAAAAAAGTAGAAAACTCTGATAAACAAATTATTGTAATTCTAAACAAGTTCTAACCATCCACAATTACAAAAATCTAAAAAATTGTCATTGTCCCTCCTTCATGTTTTAAAAAGTTAATTTTAATAAACCTCTCACAAATTTAAATTTAGCACTAAACTCCTAAAATATCTGCAATTCTCATTAAATCCTTAGAAAGTTTGATAATTTCAGGAAACACCCAAAATATTTTGAATTTTTGCACTTAACTTCCAAAATGGCGTTGCCTTAAAATTTCACATTGGCTAAAATTAACCCTCATAGATAGTATGTACCTCTCAAATCGATCTTATTTGCAAGTTAGCCCATAAATTGATAAACAACCCAAAAAATAGAAAAAATTACAAATAGCTACTAAAAATTCTAAAATTACAAATAATACTCGGATTATTTTGAAAGCTATAAAAATAAACATATAGGCCCCTTAAAAATTGAAATTGCAAAAAACCCTTGAAAATCTTCAAATAAAAAAAATACTCTTGAAGTTCTAAAATTATGAATAACACAAAAAAAAATTCATAAATTACACAAACCTTTTTAAAAATCTAAAAAATGCAAACAAACCCCCTTTAAAAATAAAAAATTCTAAAAAACCCAAAAAATTCAAAAATTCAAACAAACATACAAAAAATGTGAAATTAAAAAACCACATAAAAGTAAAATATGACAAATGACATCCTAAAAAAGTTAAAATTGCAAACTGCCCCATAAACATCTTAAAAATTATAAATTAACCCTTTAAGTTAGAAAATTACAAAGACCCTTAAAAGATTATAACAACCTAAAAATATAAAAGGTATAAACAATCCTCTGAAAAATTAAAAATTAGAAACAAACCCCTCTAAAACCTAAAAATTACAACCACCTCTTGAAAATCCAATTAAATACAAATAAGCCTCTGAAAGGATCTGAAAATTATAAATAACCGTTATTTTGGATTTTGCTAAAAAATGTTGGGGCTTAAGTAAAAAAACATAAAACTTATTGGGTTATTAGTGTACTTTGGTCATTTGACTACACATGAATTAATGATGTTAATTTTGAGGATTTTCTGCTAAAAAGTCTTGGGCATTTAGTAAGTGTTTTAAAAATATTTAAGATTTAGTTCTAAATTATAAAATTATTGTTGGTTTGGTGAGATTTACCTTTATGTCAACTTTGAGGGTCTCATGAAATTGCAAAGAAAACCCTTAGAAAATCTAAAAATGTGAAAAACACTCTTATCATTCAAAAGTAATAAATGATCCATAAAAATGCAAAAATTACAAAAAAAATCCAATAAAAATCAAATATGAAAAATAGCATCCTAAAAAAATTAAATTGTAAACAGCCCCTTAAAAATCTAAAAAATCATAAACAAACTCTTTAAATTAGAAAATTGCAAAGAACCTTCAAGAAAATTACCAAAAAACCCAAAAAATATGAAAAGTACAAACAACCCCTAAAAAGTCTTTAATTAGAAGCAAATCTCCTAAAAATCTAAAAGTTGTAATCAACCTCTTGAAAATTTCAATAATTATGAAAACCAGATGTTTGGGGAGCGGGGCGGGGTGCAAAAAAATATTTAGGTTAAGTGAAAAAAATATAAACTTATAGGCTTATAAGGGCAACAATGTTTAGCTTTTAGGATATAGAATGAGAAGAGTTCATGGGGATTTCTTAAATTTTCAAACTTGAAGGAGATTATCTATAATAAGCTCAAATCTGAGTGGTTTCTCAAATTAAAATAGTTGAGGGGGTTTTCATAGACAATCCCTATAATTGAGGGAGGTTAAATGAGGAAACTTCAAGTGATTATCTCAAAGTTTCATAGTTTGGGGGGGTGTTATCTACAATATGCTTAAACTTGAGGGGGTTTCCTCATATAAAATATTTGAGGGGTTTTTTTCTGAAATTATTCTATTATTTTTAGAGGTAAAATCTCATTAAGTAGTGATTATAAGAAACCCCTTTATCAAAAAGCCTCCTTAACTTTGAGATTTTATCAGAAAATTCCCCTAAAATTATCGCTTTTAGAGTAGTTTCCTAATAAAATATCAAAGTTAAATGGATTTTCCGATAACCCCTAAATTTTAGTGGATTCTATGATATTTTTGAAGTTATGCGGGATTATCTAATTATCATCCAAAGTTAACGGGGTTTTTTTGTTGATATTTAGTGTTTAAAATATTATACTTTATTTGCATGAGATATATTGGTTGTTTAATAAATTAGTATATCAAATAGGAAAGATGCAACATTTTACTCTAAGCGACCAACTCAGTGCAAAAAGGTTTTGTTTTTAAAAAAAAATTATAACTGAAAAAGGCAGTTTGAAAGGTGAAATCTTTGATACTTAGGCCTTTGAAATGTTCAATATGTATATTAAGTAAAATGAATTATGTATATAAATTTATTCAAGTAAGGGCTCTTAATTTAAAACTAAATTCTAATTTAATGCATTTTATTTTAAATATTTTATATTTCTAATATTATACTTTATAGACACACGCGAAAAGTGATATAAATTTCTTTTAGCCATATTAAAATTCCTCTGATGTTTTAATCATGAGGTTTTCAATATATATCATTTTAAAATATTTAGGGTATTTGCCAATTGCTAGTCTTTGAGATGTTCAATAGGTATGTTAATTAAAAATAATTATGTGAGTAAAACTACTTAAATATGTGTTCTTTAAGTTTTTTAATTATGAGATATTCAATATATATCATTTCAAAAGATTTAGGGTCTTCGACACTTGCAATTATTTTAACAAACTTAAATTAGAATACATCTCATCAGAATAACATTAGCCATTAGGTGCTAAGAAATAGAGATGAGTCCTGAAAGAATGTGTAACTGAGACAGTTGAGCTAAAAAAAGTTCTGAATTACAAGAGAAATCAAATGAGATGGAGAAGGATCTTTAAATAAATAAATATTTCATTCTCATTAAAAAATAAACATAATTTAAAGAAAAGAGTAAATCTCCAATTATATGATATAGTCAAAGTTAGTTATAAGGAAATTTTATGTCTCAAAAAATAACAAGTTACTCTACTAAGAAATACATACATACTAGCATGAAATCTATTAATTAGTCATTTTCATAGCTTGCTTGGACAATCCAGAACATAAACATACAGAATATAATAATATTACATTGGAAAAATTCTCATAATTAAGATCCATGGTTACTGGTATATGATCTTTTCTTAAGAGTCTATTAATCTCATGAGATATCACATTAAAGTGGAAAGTAATTATTAAAATTGTAAAGGGTATAAAATACTGTGAATTCATGCAAATTATAAAATGAAAACATAGTATTGCGATGAGAATGAAATTATTTAAATTGTACTTAATGTGAATTGACCATGTAATTTTGACTTTGGTTATAGCAATTTTGATACTGTTGATTAACTATATACGTATAGAGACATAAATTATTTTTCATTTTCACGTGAAATTAAAAGAAATATTTCACAACCGAGTGAAGTAAGAAAATAGAAAAAAGGATAAGGACATTGAACCACGTGCAATGCACGTGCATCCAATCTAGTTAATTAATATCCCCAAGTAGACATTAGTACGTCTCTTCAATGAGAAGTCAGTGTTGACAAAGCCGCACCTAGCAGCTCCGAGGGAATTTTGCAACTCAATATTTTTATTTATTCTTAGTTATATATTTTGCAAAGAGGGAATTTAAGGAAAAAACACAATATTTACATCATATGTATCTTATACAAAAGTCTTGGCAGCTATCCAAAAATCAGTACATGATTTCCATGACATAATTCAAATTGCTCACCTCTTGTCTAATCCATAGATCAGGATCACATATCTCACGTCAATGAACATTGTGCAACAGCATAATAAAGGTAAATGCCAAAGAACATTGATTAAAAAAAATATTTGACACTGAACCTGGATTTGATATAAATTGGAACTCCGGAATACTCAAGAACGAAACTCAAGAGCGGAGCATTAGCTCACACGTTCAAGAAGTGTATCATCCAGCTTGAAAATTTCTTCCCTACTAGGTTGATTAGACTATTAGGTCAAGTTCAAGGGTATCAACCTACTTATCAATTTCTTCCCTACTAGGGAGTATGGAAGGTCTCCTCAACTACAATCCTAAAGGAGAGAGGTTTATGTGATGTTAAAAGTCGTCTTGAGAGGAATAAACCAAAGAATATTGAAAAAGGTGACTAAAGGGAGAACCGAAATGTGGTTGCGTACCTATAAAGTGATAGGTAACAAATAGAAATTTGGGTCTGTACGTAGATTCGCCTTGAAAGACAAATCACGATTCGGGACTATACCCATCAAATATAAATCTCACTCTGGGAAGGTTCTCCATGAAAGAGTCAAAGACAAATCAGATTTCAGGACTATACCCATCAAATGTATTCGAGCGCTTTATTGATAAGCATACTGGTCTGTAACATCAAAAAATTGAAATATGAAGTCTCATGTAACAGTACTATACTACTCTAACAAATGAGTAGAGTCCCGGTTGAAGTTTACGTAAGTTGTCCGCAAAAAAATAAAAAATCCGTATCTAACATCAATGTATTGATGAAAATAGTCTGCAGGCCAAATTTGACTCTAAAACCAAACTCATCCAACAAACAAATGGTTCCTTAAAACATTCCAGACAACTAGTCATGCAAATTGGACATTTTCAGTGAGGATAATAAAATCATTTCCACTTTCCAGATGATAATGAATACGAGAAACTCACTGGTTGATCAAATAATTTAGACATGTTTACCACACGACATGATGTACATGTTGTAATGAAAAAATATTTTCCATGAAAGGTAGACCTCAGTATAAATCTACAGGCAGCCTGGAGGTTGTTCGTTAACAGATTTAAAAGGTGGCATCTTCAAGGTAACTTGATTTGGTGCAAACATAGCAGGTTAACCATGAACTTAAACTTAAAGAATAGCATATCATCTAAATAAGCTTAAAGCTTTCACAAAGAAAATGACAACAACTCTGCTGATTGTTTATTTATTGCAGAGCAGCGGCAAAAAAGAAAAGAAAAAAATGAAGGGAAAATAAAAGAAACAGAAAGGATCACAGGCAAGATTGTTTTACCTGTTGTTGCTGATAGTTCCCATATCCTTGATATGCTGCATAAGCATACATGTTTGGATCTTGTGGTTGTTGGTACCCATATGCATCATAGCCTTGATTATACCCATAATAGTTATTGTTCCACTGGCTCTGATCCTGTTGTGACTGATAAAGAAGGGGTGAACAACCAATTTATGGCCCCTTTAGTTCACACAACTAGGTGGAGAGTACACATGACTACTAGAATTAAAAGCAAAACTCAACCTGTTTGTTCGGACTACGACCCCATGACAGCCGAATGTTTTGACCGCCTAACAAAGTGCCGTTCAACTTATCTAAGGCCTCCTGGGCACAAGCTCTTGAAATCAAAAACATTTGAATACAGAATAAATTAGTATTATGGAAGAAGATTGTGTTTCAAGTAATGGTAATTCAAGCACAAATGTACATATAATTATTTTTAAGTTCAGAGGAAGCACAGACCTATTAGCAAACTGAACAAACCCGCAGCGCTTGCCTACAGGTATTTTTACATGCACCAAATCCCCATGAGCGCTAAAAACCTGACGCAAAACATCATCTGTAACATTAGGGTCCAGCCCACCAACAAATATCTGCAGAATGAAGTAATGTATCAGTATCATAAAGCTTAACTTTAAATAATTATATGTAAAAGTTAAATGATGAACCCACAGTTGTATTATTTGGATCATTCTCGGAGTCATTTCCTTGTGTACTCGGGTAAGAAGCTGCAAATAACATTACAGGTGAGTCACTATATATTGGGACACGAAAAAAATAAACATGTGTGGCTACATAGAGGCACTTGTAAATGTTTTCCAGGAGCCCTAAAACATGTAAAAAAAACAGTGACACAGAGGTGCATACTCTTGTTCTGAAATTCACAAAGCCATGTGCCAGGGAAAAAGTAAAGAAAGAGAAAAGACCATGGAAATTTCTCGGTAAATGAGATGTTGTATCTGATGGACATCTTATTAGTAAGCATCAGAACAGCGATGAAATATGTTGCATGGGTAGGGATGCGGGTGAGGACAAGGACGCCGGTACAGATACGGGACATGGAAAACCTATAAAATTTAGGATACACAGCTATATATACTTATTGAAATCAATAATATATATGAGATCAATATTGTCTTATATTACATAATATGAGGACTAAAGTCCCTATAACTTTTTTATGTTTCTTTTATCGAGTAGATTATAAATTGAGAACCTGCCCATTTTAGGACTAGATACCCAGATGATTGTTTAAAATCTACTTATGAACATGATATTGGCTGAAATGAACTTGATCCGAGTCCAACAAGTTCCAGAAATTGATATGAAGTGTAAGATATACGTCCAAGAAGCGTACCACGAGTGTTTTACACTAAAACATATATTGTATAATTGGGCTCATGTCTGCATAAATGTATGTATATATTCAAGAGTGTCCAAGGAGTCCCTGACAAGGACCCGGACACGGATACAGGAGCCAATATGAAGTGTCCAGGTAACCTAGGTGATGAAAAACCAATAGAGAATAGAACTTATATTCAAGTACCAAAATAACAAAGACAAAAGAAACCTTTGTAGAAGAACAATGAAGGTCATGAATATAATTAAATAGAATGCAGATGGAGATTCATGTATTACACTAATTCAACAAAAAGAAGGAAAGAAATCAATCTGATAATGTTGTTAGAATGCTCCTGAAGGCAGCTCAAGCAAGGATCTTAAATGTCGGATGAAAGTGCTCTTGAAGGAAGATCAAGGAAGAGGTTGCATGAGTAAGAAGAGGAAAAGGGTAGCATTGGGACAATCAAATAGAAAGAACTAGTGTGGTTGAAAAGTGACATCTTTAAATGCAAGCAGTTGGATAGTGTACCAGGGGTACAGCTACAGTTCTAATTTTGTAAAAATAGAAAAAGTTAACTTGGTAAAGATAAACAAGTTTTCTCACTTAACAAACTAAGAAGAAAAAAACTGTAAGAGCAGCATGCCACAGGATGTAACTCAAAAGGTTACAAAAGAAAAACCAAGGATTACATAATTTAACACACTGGCGTTACAAAGACCAAACTTACAGAAAAAATGAATCCCTTCTTAAGTTAGTTATGGTCCATAAAAAATTGCTCCAAGACAGCATGGATTACAATAAGCCTTCAATTATGGTAAACCAGTGATAAATGAATGGTCCTTATCAAATAAAAGATCTAGGAAAATGATCATATATCAAAAACAATTCCTTATACTAAATGTAAATAGATGTGTAATAAATGATTATAGGAAGCACAAATAAGACACATTCAGCTGAAAATATGAACCGGATTTGAACCTAAGAAAGCAGGAGGTGAAATAATATAAAAAAGTGACAAAAGGGAAAAGGAAATAAATACATAAAACCACACATTTGCTTACCCTTGGTGGGATTTTGCTGAGCGCCCATACTTTTTTTGGTTGTAGCTGGGCCTATCCGCATTGCCCTTGAAGAACAGTACATCCCGTCCATTTCAGTCATAGCACGTGTCTGCTCACTTAAATCTCCAAATCTAACAAAACCATAGCCTTTGGAGTGGCCAGTATTCCTATCGGTAACTATTTTAGCTCCCTTCACAGAAGGATAGAGACTTTTGAACGTCTCCTGCAACAAGTAATCTGTGACATCTGCAGCCAAATCTCCGACAAATATAGTATAGTCAGGACCATCATCTCCTCGCTTCTCACCAGCTGCGGCCCAATTTAGCCTGAAAGTTTGCTCAATATTAGGCATCAACTGACCATTATATGCCTGAAGAACATGTTCTGCAGCTGCCCTTGTTGCAAACTCAATAAAACCATAACCCTCGGATTGTTGAGTTTGTTTGTTGCGGATGATTTTCGACGAAACAAGCTGAAATTACAAGTCAGACAGATAAGAAACAGACAATATGAACTTAAAAGAAAAATAAATGGATCGCACCTGAAATTACAAATCAGAAGGCTTCTAAGGAACAGGAAAAAGAAAGAACATAGCCAACAAGTAATAAATTACATCCAACAAAAATAAGGGCATAGTGCTCTTCTGCTGCTTAGATAATTGTGCTGAATTAAAACTAGGAAATACAGAAGTGATTTTCAGTTTCATCACAGGCAGGTGAAGGTTTCACTAAATATATTAGAAAGTTGCACTGAACTTATACTGTAAGACAAAATGTTGGGTCCATAGAAACTCATAATTTATCATAGGATTACACTTTTTTGTCTTGTGGTATAAAAGTAGTATAATTCTTGTAGTCTAGTTGTCATTAGACCGCAACACTTTCATTTTTCAGTTATCTGGAAAGCCAATGTCAGTCATTCTACTCATTCACTCATTTTCTACAAATCCAATTTCCTACCAAACGCCCTTTTTTCACCCCACGGAGGGTCCCCCCATCCCAATGATCGTGCATTCATCAATATTACTAACAATTGGTTATTTATTACGGTCAACGGACAAATAAGAAAATCTTTAGCTATGCATCATGTAAATTAAAAACATCACAAATGAAGCACTCCCCTAATTTCACTAACCACAAAATCTAATTTGAACAACATTGCATATTATTCAACCATATTTCGCCAAATAAAACCAATTAATCACACAAAAAATCCACAAAAAAGGATCAACAGGTTATACTGCCAGTGGAAGACAAAGCAGCTGTGAGAAAATTCTCAATCCATCCAGTACTGCAAGTCCCATCACAAGAGTTCTGCATCTCGTCCGCCGAATGCCGGCTGAGCTGTGCGGTACTGGGACATGGGCTGCTGCATCGCCGGTGACTGAGGTGGCTGGGTCTGCGGCGCGCGGATTTGAAGAAGTGCTGGCTCCACATCGCTGAGGCGCTGGCCGCCTGTACTGTGCTTGCTGGTACTGTGAGAGGCGCGATGCCATCATCGGCGCCCACTGCTGCGGTGCGTCGGCCCATTTTATACTTGCTTGGCGGCGTTGCGCTGCTGTTGCTGGTCAATTGAGAGGGCCTCCTGCGCTGGTTGCATCATCTTGAGGACCCCTAACCCTAATGCTAAAAAGTAAGATTAAATTATGGGATAATAATAAGAGAGATGTTGAAAAAAAGGGTGGGTTTTGAGAAAACCCTAGCCCTAAAGGAAAAAAGAGGGAGAGGATTCAGGAGCGAGGAGATTATTTAAGAGAGAGCGCGATAGGAAGGGGGGAAGGAAATTCTTGTAAGAACCCAAACTGCATGACCCCCAACGACGCACCTCTTAATCTATGTTGGGCCCACAGAAAAGTTGGGCTGGCTTGTTGATTGGGTTACCAAGCGGGTTTTTTCTGAGTGCGGGAGGAAGAAATATATGGGTCAAGCATGATACTTTCGAGAGGGTATTTGAGTAACTTTCGCGTTTCTACCTGTAGGCTTGTTTGTTTGCATGAAAATAGTAAAGAAGTAACTGAAGTAGATGAAGTTTTTCATACTTTAAGCAAAAATTTATATTTGCTTCTCCGAAAAGACTACTTCAGTTATTTCCATAAATACAGATGTGGCGTCTAGGTGGCACTCCTATTTTCTAGATTTTTTTTCGCCCTTGAAAGCTCAGAAGTAGAGGAGAAGTGGATAAAAAGTGGGGTCCACTTAAATTCGAGATTTACCAAGAGCATATGATCTTAAATAATATATATATTTTCTATCCAAACAAACAAATAAATAAAAGAAGATGATGAAATACTATTTTTGCTACTTCTAAAAATATATGAAACAAAAAAAAATATTACTTCCGCTACTTTATACTTCATAATTGAGAAAATTACATCTTTGATCCACTTCTTACTTCTAATAGTTGCTCCATCCAAACGGGTCATTAGGTTGGTATTCACGTAAGCACCCTGAGCTGAGGCAACTCCTCTGGAATTTCGGGTGTCTCACAAAATCCCCTAAACTTTTGACCATTTTCTCACCGGACCACCGACTTGTAATTTGAAAATAACTAAGATATATTTGAGAGAAAAAATCACAAAAATTATCATTTCTCATTTATAGGCAACGTAATCTCTAACATAAATTTTGTGTTTTTCTCTAAAGGAAATTTTTATTATTTGTAAATTATGTAAGTGGGTCTAGTGAGATAAGTTCAAATTTCTAGGGTGTTTTGTAAGACATTCCAAAGTTTAAGTAGCTCATGTGAAAAATCCCAAAGGTTGAGGTTTGGTTTGTGAAATTAACCCTTAACGTAATCTCTAACATAAATTTTGTGTTTTTCTCTAAAGGAAATTTTTATTATTTGTAAATTATGTAAGTGGGTCTAGTGAGATAAGTTCAAATTTCTAGGGTGTTTTGTAAGACATTCCAAAGTTTAAGTAGCTCATGTGAAAAATCCCAAAGGTTGAGGTTTGGTTTGTGAAATTAACCCTTGGTGTTTTGTAAGACATTCCAAAGTTTAAGTAGCTCATGTGAAAAATCCCAAAGGTTGAGGTTTGGTTTGTGAAATTAACCCTT